TTTTAAAGAATTTAATAATTGAAAATGTTAATAAGTTAAGCTGTTCATCTGCATAAGCTTGTTCCCAAGATATCTACCATTAAAATCAATAAATTATTATATTAAAAAAGTGTTGCACCACTGTTTATGCAACACAAACCGTATGTAAGAGAGCAAAATCCATTTGATGGTCTATGTAACTATGTTAAGTAGTACAAACTGCATGGACTGCATAACACTGAAATATTATTTTATATCCAAAAAAAGATGTTAATTCTCAAAATTAAACAAGAAAAATAAAAGAATAATAATTTGTTAAAAAATATTATATTATTCAAATTACACTATATTAATTTTTAGATGAAAATTGAGTCTCTTAATATTAGAACTCTCTTCTGTATTCAATAATTTTTATTTATTTTGTAATTTAAATTCAATATAATCTAAATTATAAAATAAAATTTTACAATTTGTTCGGCTTTAATTTGAAATCCAACCCCACCTTCTCACCACAAACTCTTCAAGATTGATACTATCAACATTAAACAAAACAATCAAATTAATTCCTAATTGCTGACGACAATAGGAACGGTTTGTTTGGTCTGGTATCTATAAAGAACCCTCTTCTTCTTGAGGGTGCCATTGTCAATGGTGATCATTATCTTCCCTGGTGCATTGATGTAAAACGAATTCCTCAAACTCTCCCCTCCTTTCTTCTCCTTCTCACTCTGCAGCAAAAGCCGATACGACCTTTCCTAGAAGGCTACGTCCCATCCCACCACAATCATGTCCCACACCACTGTGACCCCGGACTGATTAATTCAAAACAAAAAGGATCATCAAATTCTAAGTTAGAGTTAACTTTTACATAATTAGTAGTTTCAAAATGTTTTTGATGATGTAGAAATAATAAAGTACGCACCTCCGGAGTGGGAATTAGCTAGGATGAATCCATGCAGTTGCATTTCCCCTAATGATAAGCTCGGTGACCTTGTCCTCCTGTGAGAATTCGGGATCGTTTTTTCTTTTCAGGCAACCGTATTCAACAGGAAGGTATTCTGGAGCTATAAACCGTATTGTTTAATTTATACATGAGAGAATTTGGTGAGAAAGGGATCAAATTAAACATCAGTACACAAATTTAATTGTGTAATTAACTAATTTGAATATATATATATATATATTTTTACCTTGATCCAACAATAAGACACAACTATTTCTCATCCCTTATGTTACATCATTCCCACATACCATGTGACTCGAACTCAAGACCTCTTACTTCTTGCGGAAAAAAATAACTATTGAGTTATTTAAGTCGGGTGGCTGAATAATTTTTAAATCACTTATAGTTAGTAATCAATATCTAACATCTAATAATGTTTGAATTATAAAAAACAATATCAACGATCAAGATCCAACATCTACTATTACCTATCAGAATAACAAATTTAATGTTCTTACTTGAGAAGAAGAGTCTTTGTAGCTTTGGATGCTCGGGCAAAAATGAATTTGCTAGATCTTTGGTTTTTCACCCTTCAACCGTGAAGATAAGCGATGGGACACATAAAACGAGAACGGAACATTTATTGTAATATGCAAAATCAAAAACCACCACACATATAATTGTGTCCAACATTTAAGATTAAATGTCAACTTTAATCCCTTAATTTTAAGGTTTTGTACAATTTTTGTCTTTTTCTTTTTTATGTACTTTTTTGGTCATTCAACTATGAAAAATGTGGTTTTTTAATAATTCTCTTAGTTAGTTTATTAAGTCTACCCAAATATATGCATTTTTAGTCTATAAACTTTCAAATTAAAGGACGAAAAATGTGCATATATTACAAGTTGAGGGTTAAAAATGTGTATATTTAAATAAATTTAATAGATTAATTGACGAAATGGCTAAAATATGCATTTTTCATTTTGAAGGACTAAAAAAGTACACAAAAAAGTTGAACAATGAAAATTGTGCAAAACTCTAATATTGAGGGACCAAAATTGACATTTAACCAACATTTAATCCTGAGTCCATATCGAACATGCCTAAAGCCTAATGCATGAGTTTGAATTGAAATTTTGTGTAATTATAAGTACTTAAGTTTGTATGGATAAGCTTAGGATAGTTTTCTTGAAGCACCATCCAGGCTTTCTTTTCACTAGACCCTTTTTAGTTCTTCAAATCTGTAATCTGAAAAATGGAATCTATTCCGCCATTTTTTGAGCTGAGTTCTTTGAGTCCTTTCTCAATGTATTGCACTCTCCACCTCAAAAACCTCTTGAAATTCTCCTGTCTTGAAAGTTTTCTTGTACAATTCCTTGTCCTTGAAAGTTTCTTATACATTGTAATACAAAGGGTGGCCTTCTTTATCTTCGCTATTGAAGTACACTATCTTTTCAAAATAATTACCTAGATGTTCATCTAAGATTTTGTCCATCTTGAATTTCTTTTACCATTTTAATGTTTTTTGATGTAGGTCGAAGTCATCAGAGACTTTATAATCTTTTGTTTTCAAGAATTTAAACAACACAATATTTGTACCTTCGTTGCCTTTGCTCGAAAGCAAAGGCATCCCCAAAAGGAAGTTACTTTGAGCTCTTCTACGACCGTGGCGTTTTTTTGTGGTGCAAGTTTCTTACTAGGTTTCCCTAGCAAATAGTTTTCAAGAATTGAGTCTTCAACCTTGCACCTCAACTCCATCAACGCCTTTCTGTTCTTCCTGATCTTCAATTTCAACCATGGCTAATTTCTCTTCTTCTTGAATTGGTGATATGAGATTCCCAGAATTAGTCTCTTGGTCATTAAAAGAGGCATTTTCAATTCTTTAATTTTCTTTCTCGGACTCTTCATCTTCGACAATCATTATGGTTTCAATGATATTTTCCAAGTTTTCATCCTGAGAAAAGGTATTTCTTGGGCCCCTACTGTTTTCCTTTTCCATCTTGTTCCTTTTGGAGCTCTTCCTCAGTCCGATATCTGGCGAAAAAAGAGGGGGTTGGCTGGAAACTAAATCCCGAAAGATTCAAAATTATATATAAGATGTTGGAAATTTTTTTTATGTGGGTTTCCATTAATTGTATTTGGTTTTTAAAATTTGGTCAAATGAAAACTAGTAGTGCCCAATAAAGTTGGGTAATCTAAATGAGTCTAGGTTTTATCTTAATTTTATATGGTATGATATAAATATATGTAGGGTCTAGAATTAAAGGTAAGTTACTTGATGGGGTGCTCAAAATATTATTATAAAGGTTAGGTTCTCTCTCCAATTTAGAAACCCTACTCCTATAAATAGAAGAGTTAGTAAGTGACATTACCCATTAGTTCTCACAATACAGAAGTTGAATAGGGAGAGGAACACCATTTTGTAGGTTTTGTCATAAGATCCATAGTTATGATAATTCTTGAAAATGCTTTGAAGATTGATTATAGAAATTAGGTACGCAATTTATTTATCTTATTAGATCTTAATATCCTAAATTTTACATATATTGATCCGTAAAATTCTAATTTAGGACAGATCAAGATGAGATTGAAACATGAAGATATCCTTTCCTAGAAAATATATTTATGAAACCAAGTTGGTATTGACTCAAAGCTAACATGAGTTTTCATATTCCTAACCATTGATTCCTTGTGGCAAAATTTAGAATGGAAGTATGGTGCCAATAACAATAGTTAGATTTGTGTCAAATTAAAAAGGTTGTCCTAATTAGATTTAAACTTTTACAAAAAGTAAGATATTGAAGAGGTTTTTTCTCCTGTGCTTTGCCTAGAGTTGAGGGCGACAGCCACGGATTTCTCCCAAGGGTTTCTCTCCCGCAAGGAATTTCTTCTTTCTCTACTGTCTTCTTCCTTTCCCTTCCTCCTCTTGAATTCTTCCTTCCTCTTAGTCAACTGTCTTGCTTTGGAAACTTCAGCCCAAAGGACCACAAGCCAGCGACATCTTTCAATCTACATATACTGTCGATTTTTGAAGGTTGTGACTAAATATCAAGGGCCATGATCTTATTGGTGGGTTTGGGTTTCTCTTATTCACCGGATCAGAATTTCGCTTCGACATATCTTCAATTTCGGATGAAATCCTGACGAGGGTTGCATTCGGAGAACCTGGTGCACTCCAATTTTTGCCAAGGCAACAACATCCTTTGATTTACATCAGAGAACCTAGTGCACTCCAATTTTCGATCTAGTAATCGAATACAGAAAGACAGGGATGCTATGGGTGACTTTGGTTCTGATGTTGTTGGTCTTCTAAGGAAGTGTATGATTTTGCACTGGTTTTGCTTTTGCCAACCACCTGAACATGAAACAAACTAGGCATTTTCTGCTTGGACAGAGCATTGTGGTGCCGAGAGACATTGCATCGCCAAGTCCCCTAATCTCCCGTGCTAGGTTTGGATGGCAAAATAAATGTGACTACCAGCAACGACCATAAGCTCCAGTGTAGTCCTTCTATGTTATCACATAACTCTATTAATGCCCCTATAACATATACTAGTATTTAGAAGTTCCCAATTCTTAATTGTTCTATTTGTATGAAGCACCAAGTTCTCTATATTAGTGTTATATGTCTTACTTCGCTTATTTATCTCTCTTGCATAGCCTATATGGCATGGTATACTCTGCATTGTAATTACTTTTCAATTATTAATCCAATTATACTTTTTATCAAAAAAAAGAAAAAAGAAAAAAAATTGTCCTAATTTAGTATGAAAGTTTGATGGCAATAACAATTAGTATTCCCTTCGCTCTTTTGTTTCCTTTTTCTAATTTCTTGTTTTTATGCAATTTGATTTTAATTTTATGTTTTGTAAATTGGATAATAAGTTATATAATAAGGAATAGCCATTTTCTTTTCTTAATTCCTTTCCATCTATCTTAAAATTCTAATTCAAGATCTTAATCATTTGAAGCACCTCCTGGGGCATTTGACTTGATATTTCATATGGTAAATTAATGAAAATTAAAATAAATAGATTTATGTAAAATAACTTAACAAGAAAGACAAAAAAAAAATTTTATCTTATCCTCTATTTACTAAATAAAAGTAGTAAGTCCATTTATATGCAAAAATTAAATTAAGACAACTAAAAAAGATTGAAAAAAGAAATTGCCCTAGTCATTGATTTCTATATTGTAATTCTGTCATATGTTAATTGGTTTTTTAATCGGCATCAAAAATTTTATTTGAAAGAATATAAGGAGTACTCACACAACATCATCAAGTAATTAAGACATGTTAATTTGGCTGTTGTGTATGAAATATATGCATTGTAATTTGCAAAGGACATGGTTATTGCCACCAATAACAATTTTAGGGCCACTAAGTTTATAACATATTGTTTTTAAAAATACTAATTCTATCTAATTTGATTGATAAAAATAGTTAATAATTATAATTAACTAATAATAAATAGATGAATTGATATTTATTAATTAACAAATTAAAATTAGTTAATAAACTAATATATTTTCAGATATTGTTAATAAAAAATTTTTGATACTCTTAATAATTTTGATGGTAGCAATAACCACAACTATTTCCAAGTGTTAAAAAAAAAAAAAAAAACCTCCATAATTCCAAATCATGGAATTCTTAAAAGTTCTTAATAATTTTTCATTTACAACTAGAATCTCATTGTCTAATTATCATTCATATTTTTCTGAGAATCCTAACTAATAAATATAAATGACTTTCACATGAAACTTTCACAAGGTATGCTAAGAAGTTATTGAAGTTCATGTTTCTTATATGGCAAATGCAAAATATGTTTATTTTAAAGATTTAAAAGAAACCTTTGATCAATTTTAAATTACTAGTTTTTTCTAAGGCAGGAGATTTTGGATATTATTATTAATTATTCAATATATATGAGATATTGAAGGAAATTAAATTCACTTCAAAAAAGAAATTGGAAGGCTTGACTTCACTTTTAATTAAACTTTCATGTTGATGCTTCTGTTACTTACAAAAACATATTTGTTTGGTCTTATTTTAATATTATTTTTTAGTTTCTTTTTCTCCCCAATGCTTTGTTTCCTCTGAATTGGTTAATAAGACATAAAAATTTATAAGGAAAGAAGAAAAAGTTGAGAAGAATCAGCATGGTAATGATTAGGTCCACAAGTTAAAAAGTGTGTACCATGTAAAATAAATTTTTTTTAAAACTTAAAATTAATACTATTTGGTTCCTATAAAACAATACTAAAAATTCAAAAAGATCTTGGGAACAAAATAATTTACAAATATCTTCAATACTAACTGATTTAAAAATCCAAATACCAATGTTATGTAAAAAGAATTATAAAATTAAATTATATCTCCAAGTTTCTCTAGCTGCATTGTTCTACTCTATTTTTGTTCCATTGAGCTAGGGATTGAAGAAGCTAGCCAGAAAACAGGATCCTAGAAATGAAAGCTTGAGTGGAGAATGAATAAACATGAAATTTTATAATGACTGTTTATGAATGTAGAATGAAACATTGTCAAATAGAAATGTTATTAGAAGATAAAAATAATGGTGTAAGAGTCCAAACCATATGACCATATAATTATAAACTCCACGTTAGAATCTCATACTTCGATTTTCCAGTACATGCCTACTTAAGATCAGAGCCGAGCCCTAACTACAAAGTAGAAGCGTATCATATATACAAGTGATTTCTTGGTTGTCAGGAACCAAAGTCATCCTACATAATGAATATTTAGCAGGCTGCAGCATGTATTTCATGACTCCCGGTATTTGGTCAAGTCAAATGTTAGGGTCCTCGAGCAGCTGCAAACAGGTAAAGTATTGTTATGTGGAAAAAACTGGATAACATGCCACTCACATTCATCAGCTTAAGAGCCAAGAAAATTAGAGAGAACTTACCCCCTCTCTGAGTCCCTATAAACCCCAACCAGTGCTTCAGCCTTGTCATAGAAGCTATCCTTCAGAGATATCACGATACTCTGGAAACCAGTTCCTTCATCCCCATCTTGATTACTTCTTGTCCCTTCACATGATTTAGAACGAATAAACCCAGCCACCTTGGCCACATTAAGATTATCCAATGCAGCATCAACTTCATCCAATATGAAAAATGGTGAAGGCCGGTAGCTGAAGCACTCATGAAAGTGAAACAACGTTAGAACACAGAAAATCAGATTAAAAGAGCAACCCTCTACAATCCAAGAATAATATATCCTGCTTTTCTCAAAAACTTAAATTCCTTATATTATATTTCATATATGTAAAAAAACGAGTTTCACCTAAATAAAGAAGAATTGTAGTAGTACAGAGCAACTAGACAAGCAACGGCAAATAAACGCCTTACAAAGCTCACAATAGAATACTGGAGACATTGCAATCAAAGGAAGACAAGCACCAGATGTTAAGACATTAAGGTCCCTCATGAGAGAATGGTCAAAATGAATGACAATATCAGTTAAGGTACTATGTAAAGTCATTAAACTTGAAAACTGTAGTGACATTAAAAATGTAAAAACTGGGTCAAGTTCCCATTCACCATTACTAAAAAGTTGAAGACATTAAATCAAATAAATCACAATTCTGCAAAAGATCTATTCCAATGTAGGATGAGAAAATGTGAAAGAATTCCAGATTAATCAAACACTTGAGTCAGTACCTGTGGATGGAGAAGAGTAGTGCAAGTGCTGCAACAGTTTTTTCGCCACCAGAGAGCTGCTCCATATCCCGGAACCGCTTTGTTGGTGGCATAGCTGTGTACTTGATGCCATGTAGGAAAGGATCATCTTCATTTTCTAGGTTCAAATATGCCGTCCCACCTAATGGGTGAGTATTACTCTTGGTGAGTTGCTTGTAAATCTTATCAATGTTACCAGAAATATGGCTGAAAGCTTCCATAAACAACTCATATCTGCATTACCAAAATAAAGAGGCAGATGATTAAATTCGATAACCAGAAAACAAGTATTAGCCTGCCCACGTGTAAAACCACCATGACAATCCAAAAGGCAGTGAGAGGGTAGAAGGGGGAGGGGATGTGTACAAGATTCATATAGGCAACTATTCTTGAGGTTGTTTCATATTAATAGTAAAGTAAAAATGAGGAACAGAATAAAAAATGTGACTACTACCCAAATTACCTTGCACTAATTTTTAGATGAGTAAAGATAAAATTACATCGGTATAAGTGTCAAAAACTCTCACACCAATTTTCAGCCACATATTTTATAATTTAAGGGGCTGTTTTGAAAATTCAAGTATTGCATTTGTTGCTGAAATTTTGAAATGAGTGGCTAAGAATTGGTGTAACACTTAAACCAATGTAAGTTGATCCTTAACTATTAGATATTAAAGATACAAAAGATTTCAGAAAGTCATGAAGCAAGTTTCTTTATTGCGGATAATATGACAATTCACAGAGCTTTAAATCAGTTTAAGCATAAAGACAACATTACTATATACCAGCATGATCTAATCTCATAACCTAACAGCTTAGCTAGATTATGAATTTGTCATATTAGCTCAATTCAAATTAAAAGCTTTTAATGCACAAAAGAGGTTGATCCAGCATAGTAAGTTAATCAATACCTCCTCTGTTTAACTGAGTTGTAAGCATCAGCCACTTTCTTCTCCTCCTTTCTGGCACCTTCAAACTCTTCAGTTACATCTCTTTCTTTCTGTTGCAAAGCTGCATACTGGTCAAGTGCCTTCAAATTTGGTGCTGTTCTTTCAATTTCTGATACAAGAGTGTCAATTTTTTGTTTAAATTCTGCCTCAAGCTTGTCTCGGTCGGATGTTCTCCTACCCTGATGAGATCGATTTAACTGACTAAAATCAAAAACTGGGCCCATTGTTGGAGAATCAGTTTCCATTGGGTCTGAGATGATAGGAAGTTCAATATGTTCTAGTTCACACTTCTCAACTATTTCCCGCTTTTCTGATATCAACTGCTCAATCTGGGCCTCCTGTAAAATCAAAGAAACAAATGTTTATGTCAGTTAAATTCATCTACATCTTCTCTGGTATTCAAGAAATACGTTGCAGCAATGGAAAAGAAGAAGATATTGGGACCTTTGAATTTATCTGGCGATTAAGTTTGGATAATCTAGTTGTGGCTGCAGAATTCTGCTTCCTCAATTCCTGGATTTCCTTCTCACACTCTTCCGACTTTGATTTCCACTCTACCACATTATAATAAAGGAAGATAAGCAAACTTTTATCCAACGAAGGTAGTGCATGGAATCTCAAACATTTCCACAGGGAAAAAGATGACTGTTTTTTCACATCATAAGATCAATAATCTCCTAAACTCATTAGAACCGGAGGCAACATCATGAAATCAGATGTGTTAGCAACTGCTACACCAGTCTAACAGCATCTGTAGTTCAGCATTCTGAAAATCAACTATTGGCAGCTATATTATATTTGTGCATAGTTTTATGTATACCATGCATGCCAATTTAAGAGAATCACAAATCCAAAACCTTTCCAAAAACCAAACTAGTGATTTATGCATTTTCAATTGTCAATTGATGCATGCTTGGCCATTTATTTATTTATTGGCAAATTATGCGTGGGCATATGCAATCAACTTAAAATTTGGCTCAATTGACCGACATGAGTAAGACATTAAATCCAATACTTGGTTCAACTAAACATGCAACTCCACAAAAACAATGTAGAACAGTTATGAAAATGAAACACTTCTCATAAGTTTAATTGTTCCCATAGAGTGGAAACCTCATAAGGATAACCTTCCTCATCAAATAGCTCACCATAATTTACTAAAACTAAACAAAACCATACCTGCAACCTCTTTCTTCAACTGGTCAATTTCATCAGAAGCTTTCTCTGTTGCTGATTTGAAGTCGGTCTCTTTTTTCTGAACCTGTTTTAATTCATTCTCCAAAGAACTAATAGAAGTTTCCAGCTTTGTAATCCGTGACTCAACATCCCGTTTGCGTTCATACTCTAGTCTGTAAATTTCAAAGAACACAGAGTAAGTCAGGAGACAATACAATAAGGAATGAAGTCAAGCAGTAAAGCTTCTAAAGAAACAACCAAGATAATCAGCTACAAACATGGTTAAAAGGCCAAGACCCTTAGTTGATATCCTGAAAACTAAAGCATGGACTTTTAAATGCAACAAACAAACAACAGAATGAAAGAATGCCAGAAATCAACTGCCTTTTGTAAAAAGGAAAATAGACAAAGAGAGGAAAAAGGCATACTGGTATTTCAACTTTGCAAGCTGACTACTCAAGCTAAGCCTCTCTTCTGCAATGTTCTGTGCTGCCTTAAGCTGGTTTTCTTCGTACTCACGGATGTTTGCTACGCCCACAGACTGACTAAAATCTTCAAAGATTTGGTCAACAATCTCATTGATACTTTTTTCAAGCTCCCTAATCTCTTTGCTCCTCTTATCAATGGCTTCCTTTAACTGCAAGAAAGAAATATATATAATTAAAAAAAAAAAAATCATCATATAAGAAAAATATTATTACAAGGACCAGGCAGACGCTTTGGCCACATAAAATCACCTTTCGAAGTTCAGGACTTATACGTCCAATTTCATCCTTGATATTCCGCTTCTCCTTTTTCAAGAGTGAAAGTTTGTCCTCGATACTTCTCTGCAATATAATTTAATACATTGTTTATCTAAGCAGAGGTATATCATATATAAAAGAAAATAACAATTATTGAAGTAATCATCAGAATCCCAGTTTCACATCTTATCTCTCAAAAACAACAGGCATATGTGCATCATGTCCTTTTCTGCTTTGAGAAAGATATCCATCTACCTTGAAGTTTTCCATTAACTCATTATTCATGCAATAGTAAAGAGGAAGAAAGAGAGATGATAAATAATAAGGATTGCGAAGCTAATACCTGCATTCATTATCATGACCAAAAGGGATTGAAGATGAGTAACTGATCAAGTCATAAAAAAAAGGATGTTGCGTCTGTGTGTAAGTTGGAGAGTGGAGGGGAAAAGCAGAGTGAGATTGCAACATCATCTTACTTGTTAGTGTATAAGGGGCAAAACAAAAGGATAATTTTCTCAAGAAAAAGAAAAGGTCTCCTCTTAAACTAAGCAGTGGTTGGGTAGACAGGAGCACCCATATTTGTGTCTATGTGCCTTGGATTGAATCATTCTTTGCCTATCTATCCTCTACCAAAATTACCTGATATTAGCCACAACTACCAACTTGTGCACAAGATCTTTGCTTGCAGTGGAAACAAATCCAAAAATGAAAAATTGTGTATAGTTCAAATGGGGAGGTTGATGTTGGAGGATAAATTGAGCAGCAAGGACTTAACGAATGTATATATGCAGGCTGGAAGTAGTAGTGCAAGTCAAATACCAATTGTATCACTATAGGAACAGAATAAATAAATTCCAATAACCACCTTCCCATGTTCATCGGTAGCCAAGAGGTGCAAAGAGTTGAAAAAGAAACCAGTATTTATTCCTTAAGTGCACTTCTAAATTCTAATCTATACATGGTTCTTGTACGAGTAAAACATGCTACAAGACAGAAGAGGGTTCACTTAGTATCAGTCCTAATTAGTATCAGTCCTAAAGAATTACCTTCTCAATTTCACCATACTGGATCTTCTTTTCAAGTCCACTAATTCTCCCCGATGTTTCAGACTCTTTTAGTTGCATCTCCCTGATTGACCCAAGCTCTTCCAACTCTGATTCAAGCTGCTCTTTCTTTTTTTTAAGTCCTGCAAATCAGCAACAATAAATACTACAACAAGAAGTCTCTGGAATCAACTTAGCATGAAACCAACCTTCAATTTTTTTATCATCCCACTTATTTGACCTTGCTTCCATTCCACCACTTGTACCACCCGTCATTGTTCCAGATTTTGTAAGTAGTATTCCATCAACAGTTACAACTAATGCAAGCAGATACAAGCACAGATTGAACATTAACTCAAGCAAACAGTAACCACCATTCCATTAAATGAAATGCGTAGTCAAAATTTACCTTTAAATCTCTCTCCACTCCAGCTAAGAATCTTGGCTTCTTCAAGATCGTCACATACTAGAGTGTTCCCCACAGCATAAAGCACTGCCTTCTCCAATATAGGATCAAATGTATGAATGTCAAGTCCACAAAGTAACATATTTTCTTGGTATTTTCATTTCCAGCATTTCTTTTATTATTATTATTATTTTACAAAGTACACCTTATCATATAGATCAAAACAAAAGGCAGAATACAGACTCAAGGTAATATCCCATAAAAAAGGAAGAAATTGCAAGTACAGAATCTACTCAAGACATGTCCTACAGTCCAGAATATAAACATAAATTCACCATTAGTCATCAGAGATGAAGGGAGAAACTGGAATTATATGAAGAAAAAATCCCAGAAATATATCAGATGTTAAACTGATCCAAAACATTTTGAAAATTCTGTCAACAAGCTCGTTAGGTGGGTATAGGCAGATAGGCTTAAGACAGCTAGATTTTCTATTGATCACAAGAAAACAATATTGGATCAGATCAAAAATCAGCTTTCCTGTAAGAAATCCAAATGAGCAACTAAATATGAGAAAATTACATAAAGCAAGATAATACTGGTGAATACTTATTCAACAACTCAAAAGGATATTGGATCACATCAAATATCAACTTTGCTGTCCCACCTAAGGTACGCAACCTTTCAATGATTGGCTTAACACGCACAGACTGAAGAGGTATAAATGTCTGAGGAGGAAGCCTTTGCTCTTTGAGATACTGTAAAAAACCAAAATGATTAACAGTCTTACTGCAGCCACACACAAATACAAATATATTAACCACAATCAAATTATTATTTGGAAAGACAGTTATGGAACTCTATCAGTACTATATTAAAGAAAAAATGTCCTAAAACAGTATAGCATCACATCATATCTTGTGCAGTTTTTAGAACACAAAAGAAAGTAATGACATAACAAAGACATCAGGTCCAGATAAAATTTGACTAGTCCCTATCCAAAAATTTCATAGATCTAGGTAAAATTCTCCCTCCTCTATCCAACTCTTTGAAAGCTAATAATTGGAAAGAATTGGAGAATACACCAAGACAATATTCAACACTACCAAGAGATTAGTAACAGGCATAAAGCACCAGCGCACATGTTCAACCAGTAAAACTGGCATCCATAATATCACTGATGATGATAGCAACAGTAATGATGAAGTTTTCAAGGTTACCAGATGTTCTTGTAAAAAGAATTGTACACTTTACATCATCAAAAGAGATTAAGAAGACTTGAGTCTTCAACCTAATTTAACTCAAACAAAGAAAGACAGTCAGTTTGTCTTCAGTTATCAGCACAGGCAGGCATCATTCTTGAATTATTGCAACAAAGTGTCATAAAGTAAATATGGAATGCAATGCAACCATAACAATGTCTTGATAGTTAATATCAAAGTATCAAGTTCTTAAAAAAAACATCTGAAAAGAGTAAATTAGCAAATCATTAGGTACTACCTTGATACATTCCTTTCCAGTACTTTCATCATCTACCACAACTGCATCCATAAATCTACCCATAGCAACAGTAACAGCAAAGTTGTACTTCTTCTGGGTTGGCCTACAAAGATCAGTCATTCTACCATGAACCCCTTGAAATAGGCGTTTCAGAGTCTCAACAGCTTGAGAAAATTTAGCATCCCTCTCAGTTTCATATCTTTCAGCCTTCAATTCCCGTAACTGGTTTTCTAATTCAGCAATTTTTTTCTTCAAACTCTCATATGAATTCCTTCATATCAAAAATTCAAAAGGGAGGACAGAGGAAAAGCATCTCAGATAATAAGTACAAAACATATTAAAAGAACAGCAATTTTTCAGACTGTAAGCACAGAAATTTCACTGGCGTAAAACTTATCCACTGTATATGTAGGAGCAGACACCAAAGCAAGCAAAGGTAACGTGCACAAACTAAATCATTGACCTGGCATCTCGATGTTTATCCTGCATTGCACGCAATTCTTTTTTCAGTTGCGAAAGTTCTTCCTTGTGCTCATTAGAAGTATCAAGAATCTTCTTAAGTCTTGCTCGCATTTGGGCTTCCTGTTCATTGAGTTCCTGCTCCCTATTGCTCAACTGTTGAAGATTTTCTTCCAAATTCCTTTGAGCTTCAATATCAGCATGCTGTTGCCTATCTAAAACTTCTTTCTCATCTCTTAGCTTTGCAGTTTTCATCCCAGCATCCTCCTTACTGAAACATCAAAACTCTAATAATTGACTAGACTGAAAATTATGATTCTAAAACCAATGCATGAGAAGAAAGCTAATAAGTAATAACTATAAACCATCTATAGAACTGCTTGTGCTGATACACTATCACGAAAAGTGCCCTTTACAGAAAAAATCAAATTCCCCTCCTAGATGTCCTTAAAGAGACCCAATTGCAATTGAGCTATAGCAGACACTACCATCAAGCCAATGCCAATCAGAATCAGAGTCACAAGTAATGGTAACATGGAGTTGATCAGTTGATTTAGACAGATGCTGGAAATGGCAAACTCACTTTTGTTACATTAAAGATGATATAAGGATTCATGTGATGTCCCTGCTTGGATAGCTATCATTATATCTCACGGTTTTGCCCAATTGTTTCAAAACTATAATATATGCTATGTGCTGATATTTTCTTCCCTCTTCAACATACCTCCTTTCTTTAAAAAAAACTTGTGCCTGTGGTTTTTTCCCTTCTGGGATTGATGATGTTCTACAACAAATGGAGCATTTTCTTGAAAAGCAAGACTGATAATAGACTGAGATATTACAGCTAAGCTAAATTCCCATGTTTCCAAGAAAGAGTTAGGAAGCCAAAGCTGATGTCAGCTAAAATTGTTTTCCTAACCTGACTTCTTATTCAAGTTGAAAGGACAAATTAAAGCCCACAGAATGCTCTCCTTGAAAGAACAAAAGAAAAGTTATTATGTCTTAATGAAATATGAAGACAAAAAAAAATTGCCTTTCTAATTGCCCATGAAGAAGTTGAGGATGATTCGTATTGTGCAATAGAAAACCAGAAAACCCTTTAGGAAGGACAAGGAGGACAATCAGGCATCCTTAAGAAACTAATGCATGCAAAGAACCCAAGAAAACTTACATTTGAAAATATTCTGTCAGTTGACTGTCAAGCAAAGGCAGTTTCCCACTGCTGTCTCTACTTTTTTCATTTAAATCTTCCAGTTTTGCCATCAGATCTTTTATGCCCTTGTGTAATTCTTCAATATCATTAGCATGTCTCTTCCTTTCAGTCTTTTTCTTGTCAAGCTCCTTTCGGCAACTCTTGATTTTTGACTTTATACGAGACATTTCCTCATTTAGTTTCAGAAGCTCAGGTTGCTGCACTCAGGGAAGATAAAAACATACTATTAGCCTCTTCCCAGCTCATATAAATGATAGAACAGACAGAACAATCATCATAGTTCATATTTCTTGTACAACATAATTGGCAATTCTTTTTGGCCATAACATAATCAGCAATCTGCATGCATATGAAAGTACATAGAGAGATTAGAATAGATCATGCTGTGTCTGCTCATTGCAGCATATTACTATGCGAAATCCACCAGAAATTTCCACAAAATGCCAGCAATAGATTATCAAACTGTAAACACCCATGCAAACCATCATTTATATATAAAATTTAATTTTTGAGAGCAAACTACATGCGCAAACAAGTACACTGCAAACTAAAACACCTAGAGATAAGTTGTATAATGATAACAAATTCCAAAATAATTCAAAACATAAAAAATGAACAAAGTCATAAATGTATAACAGACTAAGTGCCTGTGAGGCCTAGCTTCTACGGCAGAATTGAAGCTAGGCCAAACAGGGTTTTCTTATAAGAACTTCTAGCTTTTTCTAGAGGGATAAAAGCTGAACTTGCACATTTGTAGGTTCTGGAAAGGAGCATCTGTGGGTAGACTTTTAGAAAAGCCCTACTCAAACAAACAAAACTTCTACATAAGCTCCAGTTAGGCCAAATTGGTTCTAAAACATTCAGCAGAACATAGACATGGTGGATAAAAGCAACATTGGCAAGTAATTCCAGTGTTTAGAGACCCATTCAGATAGAAAACAAAACCCTCATCTACTGCATAATGCAACCAAGAAAAGAAAGTACATCATCTTTCAGCCACCAAATGTTTTATCCAAGACGTAATCACAAAGGAATCACCTTTGGCCTTCCAGACTCTAAGCATAAGAGGCTTTAATCCTAGCCAAATCAGTTTAGCTATTTGTTTATTAAAAACACTTTGTTCATATATCATCTGATCCAACTGCAATCTTATCTTCCAGTCAAGTGGTTAAATTAAATCTTGAAATTTTGGTCATGTAAACAAGTTTCTGAAAACCTATATTCCAGTTTCAACAAAACCAGAATAGACAAAACTCCAAGACAGCATTACCATTTACCAGCTGCAAAGGGATGCTATTTTAGCTAAGAATGCAGTTGCTAATGACACTGAAAAGAATCCATTACATAAAACTGAAGAGTTGCTTTTGAACAATTACCAAAAACTATAATAAACAAAAGCAGCTACTGAAGGTACATCCCAACTACATGTAAACTAACCATTTTAGTCATCACAAGATTCATCTATTCACAAAAATTGGGTTCCAATATAGACAAATAATTATAATGATGGTAAAAAGGATAACATTCAGCACAAAATTAATGAAAGAATAAAACTTACACTTTTATCTAGTCTGGTGCTTCTATCAGCAATCTTCCTTTCACGTTGAGCAATCTCTTTTAGGTACTTGGCCTGCTCCTTATTTTTTTCATTAATTTCATCTCCAAATTGCTGAATTTCAAGCATGACATCTTCACGACTACTCTTTTCACCCTCAAGATCCTCATTCATCTTTGAAATATCCTTCTCTATGTTAAACAGTTGCCACAAAAAGTAATCTTTCTTCAAAGATTTCTGCAGTATATTTTAGACCAGGTATATGAAAAGATGATTACCAACTTTTTTTTTTTTTTCACGAGAAGGAAAAACAGATAATCATATACAAGGGAATTAAACTGGAAACCTTCCAAGAAACATTATCATCCCTACCAGATCATTTTGCAAGCGAAGATGTTTCTCTGCTTCCTCCTTCTGTTCTTTCTTCTGCTTTCTCTCCATCACTATGGTCCTCTTCTTCTGGTACACAAGTGCAGATTTCTCTTCAGCCATTGCTTTTTTCTCTTCCAGGTCCTCATATTCTCTCTTCAGCTCTTCAGAGCCAGAAATCTGCTCGAGCAGTGCCGTAAGTTCTTTGGGATTTTTAGATGCAATGGACTCAACATCACCCTACACCACAGAATCATATTAAAATTTCCCAACCTCAAGATATTTGGTTTGAAATCCTTCAAACTGAAAAATGGGTAAAATTACTATGACATGTTAATCACTAAATTCAGTTGAAATATCTTAAATTGCAGGTAAAACACTCCTACAAATTGAACAACATGACCCTATGTTCACATTAGAACGTCAACTGATACAACCTATAACTTCAAGCCTCCAATGCTACATCCTAAAGGAAGATAAAAACATCATACTGAAAAAGAAAAATATTCAAAACACCACGAATTAAGAATAAATTACTTGAAACTGCTAAAAATTCAAGTTTTACACAAGGATGGTACAGTGGTTTGTAAAAATTGATAACTATAACACTCCAGTGAGAAAAGCCTAAGCCAAATAACTGAGAGTTACCTGAAACACAAGAAAATTTCGGGCCTTAACAAGAATACCAAGAGACCTCAACTTCCCATTGTACTCGTCCCAGTTTACGACCCTCCCATCAATGCGGTACTCACTAGCCCCAGCACTGGTGATTGTGCGGGTAAAACTAAGCTCGGCTCCACTTGCAAGCCCGTATACAAGGCGCACGTATGCACGGCGGCCACGCTGCTCCTTTTCCGAGTCATCATAGGCGTAGATGAGATCCTTCAACTGTGCTCCTCGGAGCTGCCCCGTTCGGACCCCAAGCACGAAGCTAATTGCGTCCATCAGGTTCGACTTGCCTGCACCATTAGGGCCAATAATCGCCGTGAAGTCAGAAAATGGACCAATCGTCTGCTGACCCTTGTAAGACTTGAAATTCTCCAACTCCAGCCGCAAAATTTTGCCTGGCGAGATTAGGGACGGCATTGTTCCCTGGAATCTGTCGCCCTAGGGTTTGGGGAGGAAAGTATCAGAGCAACTTTACCAGGTAGAATTGCGAAAGGGAAACACTATTTGCTTGCGAAGACGGAAAATCTGGAGAGATTTTACGATCTGCGAATTGGCGGGAGAGCAAATTCAGGGAAATCTATCGAGCGCGAGCTCCAGTTTCCATTTCAGGGGCAAAGGACCAAGCAATAGTAAACAGAGTGGAGTACGAGACAGTCATTTATTTTTTCTGTAAAAATATTTTTTAGTCCTCAATTTTTTTAACGCGGGACACTTTAATCCCTGATATTTATTTCATTCCTTTTCAAGTCTCAACCTTCCACTCATTGGTGTTGGCAAGGGCGAAGATTTAAATCCTTTCATTGACATCTAGATTAAAAAAATAATTTGGATTAAGAGCTTGTTTTGTTTGAAGGAGGTAGAAGGAAGAAGAAGAGCTAGTAGACTATTCATAAAATCAAAATAATTCTTCATGTTGACGTCTTAATTTGGTTGGATGAAATAGTCTTCCCTCCCCTCACCTCCAATCAAACAGACTCTAGAGTCTAAATACTCATGTTATCTAGAAAAACCATAAAACTATTGTTGCCTCTAAAAGTTTTGGTAAAATTTGTGATGGGTATGATTCTAACGTTTGATATTTGCTTTTACTTCTTGGTGGGTGGGCGATTTGTCCAAAATTACAAGAAGCCTAGTATTATTAACATTTCAACTAAAATTAAGAAGAAAATACATGAGTGCATAAAATGAACTACAGACTGTCAGTGCAAGGAGTTAAAACGGGTTGATATTGCCCTTGGTAAAGACATTAACAAGACCTAAACACATAACATCATTCAACCCACCAGTCCTAGAGCGTGGTTCCATACGGCCAAAGCTGTCATGCAGTGCTTCTTCTATGATTGCTCCTCCTCCTTGTTGCTGCTTCTATGATTTCCAGATTCGGGAACATCTGTGTTCGGGGCTTCACTGATCTTGGTTTCAGTTTCACTATAGATCTCATCCTTTGAGGATGCATTATGAGTACCATCAGTATTCTGAGGTTCATCTTTCTTGGTTTCACAACTAGCCTCGACCTTTGAGGATGAATTAGGAGTGTCAACCTGAGAAGTCACACTGGCCTCAACAATACCAGAGTTTTTGGTCAGTTGTCCTTCAGACTTTGAACCAGCTTCTAGTTCTTCATATCTGGTGATGACTCGTTGAAGCTCATCATGGAGATTCAGTGCCTCGAAGAGAATTCCTTCATCATCAGTGATGCTTTCTATGATTGTCTGAATGACCGTCTGAGAGTGCTTACACTTCTCCAGCATGCTCAGCGTCAGATCATCCTACAATCACAAGTGAACTTTTCTCACTTCAGAATTTTTTGTCTTTTATTGTATCTCTTTTCAACTCTCATTAGCCACATTAATAGAAACCTTGGCAGTAAGTCCTAAGCCAACTGATGACAGAAGAAAAGAAAGATTCATGAAATAGCTAACACTGTACTATCAGTGTGTCTTTATACTTGCATGTATGTTCATTTCATATAGCAGGACTGAGAAGATAAAAACAAGAATTCTATGTTGCTCATGGAATTTGCAAGTTCTATGAAGTAAATGATAGATAGTAAAACTAAAACTGCATCAAATTGCTCCCGCCAACATCTGAGAAGAAACATCAGGCAGGTAGCTGTGTTTCAAACTTTAAATGAATCATAGAAAACATGACTCTCCAATGGACGGAACTGACTCTGCATTGTTAAGTGCAATGAGAGGTGTATTACTAAACACAAGAAGCAGCAGAATATGTAGCAATACATAAGAACTAACAATAAATTTCTTAATGAGGAAACTACTTTCAAATTAGGAGTGGATGAACTACCTGCATGGGTTTTGGCTCCATTTCAACATTTAACATGCTAGAGAGCACTTCAAGACTGTTTCTAGTTATTTCAAAAAATTCCTTCTTCTGTTCAATTGATAGACTTCCAAAATTAAAGACAAAGGTACCATGATCTGAACCATTTACTCCTGTATGAGGAACAGGATAACTTTCAGAAGACTGCTGATGAACATAAGAGCATGGCTGGGGCGAAGGAGGTGAACTCTCATTCTCTACTGGTGAATGCTTACTCCTTCCTTTCAGACTCTGCAAAAACATCAATCATCTGTCACAAAAATAAACAATATGGAAAAATTTGCTTAAGTGAAAATAAAAAAGGATTACCATGTATGTCTGGTGAAAAACAGGCAGATATGCAAGATCCTCAGACTGCCCCCAAGCTCGAATCAACTGCAGAGCCCTTGCTCTATTATCATCATCTGTTTGCGGATTCTCGATCATCTTAACCATGTCGTCCAACACTTTCTCCGACGCCACCTCCGAGAACACCTTCTCGCAATTCATCGTACACGCTTCCAACAAATCAAGACTCAACCTTTGGCTCACCCCACTCTTACTGGAAAATTTCTTCTTTATTGCCTTCACAACTTCAGACCCACTAAACTCCTCGCTGTTAATCATCGCACATATCCTTAAATTCATGCCCCAGTTGGGCTCTTCCATGTTTTCTGATGTCGCCTCATCCACCATCTTCGATTCGGGGGTCGGGCTCTGCAGAATTTCCTTCATTTTCCCACTCACGATTCGACCCACTTGAGCCCCACCCGTCTTCAATCTCTCACTCCACTCAGCAAATCTCAACTTGTCCATTTCCTTTCCTCTTTCTCAAGCACCCAAAAACCAAAATCAAAAGACCCTAATCTGAAACAAACTAACCCTGAATATGGAAAATCTGAACTTACTTCTTGTTCAAGATACAGAATCCTGAGATACCCAGTTCGCAGATCAGACTAAAGATGAGTGGAAACGTCTGTTTCGGTCCCTGAGACGGGAAACGGAGGATTTGAACTAAAATGGTGATCTATATCGCCGGCGGACAAAAATACACATAAGAAATGGGGGGCACTTTCAGCTGGCAAATCGGAGAAGAAAACGATGGGAAAGGTCAAGTCTAAGACACGCGTGGCTTGTTTA